GGCGCGGGAGGGCTGAGGGGTTAGGTTTGCTTTTTCTGCTGCTCCGGGGGCAGCAGGAAGAGGCTGGTGGCACATGGCCACTGCCAGGAAAGGCTAACCTCTAACTGAAGACCACAAACCCTTGGTGACAGTGGCCAGCCTGGTTTTCCAAGGCCACAGATAAAATAAGCAACGACCTAGGACAGCAGACAGTGGAGGAGACAGAGGGGCATGGTCCTGCTGCTTGTTCCCTGGTGTGTTGGACAGAAGAATTTTTGTTCTGTAGTGGGAATTGCACTCTAGTTTGCTTGCTTGCTTAAGAAAAAGATGACCAGTGCTTTAATTTACACCCCACCTGGGAATCAAATCTCTCAGCAAGACAGGAGGAGTTTTTTTTTCCCCAGATCTCACTTTTGAGGGAAACAAATTTCCATGACAGAGGATGAAATACTAGGATTGTTTTTCTTAAGCGGATCTTCCAACTTCTGGCTTGTAGTTACACTAATTTGTGGGTGAAGGAAATATTTTGGTACTGAAAAGTTGCCAAAATGCTGTTTAACAGGGAATTGCAGTTTAATTAGCACTTATGAGACATTAACAATAATTGTATTCAATTTGGCCACTGAGGATAAAGTGTGATTCAGGATCAGTGGGTTGGTGCTCTTAAAGAAAAAAAAAGGGGGGGGGGGGGAAGGGTTGCCCAGCCACAAAAGCTTCTACCTATGAACACAAAGTTAATTCACCAGACCACACAGTAATGTTTTGGGGTTCCTCCCCCCCCCGCCACCCCCCGCCACGAGGTGTTGTGCTGGACTGGGAAAAAGTGGAAGGAACTTGTATTAACTGGAGGGAAACGGTTTGACTTCACGTTCCTGCTTTTGCAGCGAGCTGGATGACAGTTTATTCCTGCTATCTCTTTTGCTGTGATTTTTAGGAAAAGTGCCAAAAACTTTAAAAATTTTTCCCATGTACTTATTTATGCTTTGCTTTGCCAAGGAATGAGAAAGCCTGCCACTCTTAGCAAGCGTGTGAACGAGAAAGGCAAGGGAACCCAGGGTGAAATTTGACGTGGAGACTTGTGTACAATGTGAGATAGCCATAAACATCCCTTATATATTTCTTTTATCTTTGCAGCAGAGTTTATTATGCTCTCTGAGTTTGTGGCTGTAGCTGAAAACAAAGGCAGTGTGGCGAAATTGTCGTAGTTTCAAAATCTGGCTGAGAACAGAGAAAACAAACTATATGCAATTTAAGTGCCTGTTTGTATGCAGGCTACCACACGAGCCTAATATTTAGACCAATATGATGTAAGGCAGTGGAGATGACCTGATTAGCAAAGCCCTTGCAACGAGCTGAGGAGATCCCTGCTGCACCAGTGCTCCCCTCCTTGGAGACCTGCAACTAGTCCCAGCTGAAGGAAACCTTCCCACAGCAACCAGAGCTAGCAGAGGGTTTCTGAAAATGGCATCGCTGGTGCTCAGGTGAGGGAAGCAAGAAGAGCAAACAGCCTGCACAACTTTGCAGAATAGCTGGTGTATTATGAGAGATGCAACGTGAATCAGCCGGGCTTTGCGAACTGCGTTTGCGGGAGTTGTGGAGCGCTGTGTGTTTGGGGAGGCTGCCTTTCAGCAAACGGCTTGCTCTGATTTGTTGTGCTGTTTTCATCCTGTTGGATGAAAGCCATCGTTCGGCAGAAAGAAAAGCCAGGGCAAGATAAAGTAAGTGATCTTCTAGTTTGTAAGCTCTGGCAGCGTTGCTTTCGTATGTGGTGAGCAGACAGGGGTCTACAGGCCTGAACGGGAACTCATGGTGCTCAGCACTTACTACGGTCGAGTGTTTATTATTCCATGTCAGAGAAATAGAGACAAAACTTTATAGACATGAGAAGGATGCAGAAGATACAAGGCTTTCTATCTGTCTTGCAAGTACATTTAAATAGACACAATTGTTACGAAGTTTTTTGGTTATTTTGTGCATTACTGCACGTGGAGAGTGTGCAGGCTTGTGGCAGGAACCCGGGATTTTAGGTGAGGTGCACAGGGCACTATTTCTGGCTCTACTCTAGCTACTTGTGTGGCCAAGTGTATTAAATCCTACTCCTGAAGACAGCACACCGTTTATTCGGGCTTCATTCTTAGACTTGCTGAATACCCCAAAAGGCTTCTATTCTTAGAGGGAACTGCCATTCCTTAGCTCTGAAAGTGGGCTGTCCATAAATCACCAGCGCGTGCTTTCCAGGGGGAGCTGGGACTAGAACCTCGGCTTTCTGCCTGCCAGCCCGTGGAGATGGCAG